GCAGCCACTCCACTCGGTAGAGCCAAATCGCCAGGAGCACCGAGTCTGTATGCTGACCCAAGTGCCGGCCACACAGCGCGGCCGCCGGTGGCAGATAGTTAAACAGTCCTCGGCGATGCATTGTTGCGAAATAAGCAGGCTCTAGGGTCTGGTTAACAAGCAATCATGGGCCACACAAACTTTGATGGCTACCCTACTTGCAGGTTATATCAATAGTACGACATGGCTAGTGTTGCTCACCTTCCAATGAGGCTTCATTCATCGTAGGTGATTGCGATCTCAGAACCCTAAACAGGGAACTCAGAGGGATGGATGGGGAGGTCTACCAGTCACTACCGCTGTCTGAAGTCTGAATTCTTGACACCGGCGCAAACTCACACTTCATCCTGTACCACAGTTGCTCACGCGACTCTTCTGGTAGACATCGTGCGTCGATCAACCCCTCACAAATACCAACTGTGCAGTACTTGCTTGGGAACCAGTCAATGGACGGACAGCTTAGGTGCTTCAAACTATCGCTTTGTTAAGTCACGTCAGCCAAACACCGAAAGGAAGGTCAGGACACAACGGGTTTTTGAAGACCGAAGAGTCCTGCCTTGCGCATCTTGGTGAAATTATCGATGGAGAGTGGCAGCCCAGCAATAAAAAAGGCCGCCTGACTAGTTAAACAAGTCTACGACAGCGGGTCACCAGTCATGTAAAAAGGTGTACGCAACAACACCACCACACGGCCAGGGTTGAAAAAATGTCAAGCTGACGCAAAAAATTTGATCAACCTATGCAGCTACCTAGACAATACAGCGTGATTTTTTGCAACCCCTTTTCTGACAACAAGCCCAATTGCCCAAGAAGCCAGACAATACACTTTTTCCCGAGAGAACAGTTGTGTTACAGAGTCAAGCTTTTCTAATTAATGCATAAACTTGGAGTAAATCCATTGGATAAAAAGTTTTTAGACCCTGTCTGGAATGTGATATGAATTTTCGAGCTATAATGCGTCAGATAGAGTGGAATAACGGAACACGTATCTGGACTTTTAGTTAGCACCCGTGCTGGCGGTACAGTGAATCATCCGACAGTTGTGTATCAAGTCTACTATAGCTGGAGTCCCCATTACCACTACTACAAAAGTGATACAGTGAGGATGAGCAATGACTGAGAAACAGTTGTGTGTGCCTTTAAACCAAAAACGTTAATAGGCTGATCAGCGATGTTAAGATTAAGTCGTAAAGGGGAACGAACTTGGTGCGTAGGCCGTCGACAACTTCGATTCGCCAATCCGCATCCAGCACAACAACTCGAGTGTCCGGTCCGGCCCTAAGACCCGACAAACTGAGACTGGGCGCACGGGCATGAACCAATACGAGGAGGGGGCCGTGGGAACCGAGGGGCCAGTTGTTAACGCGTTCCAGACAGCTGTTCAACTCCGCGGTCGTATCCAGGTGATCTGAGGGAAGACGGAGGTGAGTAAGCGCGCTGAAGAGGGGATGACAGGCGAGCCAGGCCTGGAGAAGGTCGAGGCAAGTCGTCCGGTGGGCCACAAGGAAAATGCAGCGCGGACGCCAGGGCACCCGGGCGACGTTGTGGGTGTCGTGGTTGCTGATAGGTGGTAACTCACCCAAAATTAGGTCTTTCAGAAGATTTTGCAGAGCCACCAGCTTGCCTGAATGAGGATTATAAAGATTAATGAGGTGAGCTAGGAGTAAAGACAGTATGTTAGATGGGAGGCTTCTTCCTAAAAAAATGTTGCTAACACTTTTCCCCGCTAAAAGAGAAAGACGGTTTGAATTGATGTACAACAACTATTTTGAAGCAGGGCTTATACAAATTATTAGATTGGTAAAAGTAAGGCACCTACGGTTCGAACTACCAATGCAGGCAGCTGTAATGTAGCGGCAGGGGTTATTAAATGGTTGGCAAGAAGGCGAGAGAGTCTAAGACTGGGATTAAAGGACAACAGCAGGATGCCAGAGGGCTTGACGGTGAGAAGCACGGAGCTTATCCCAACCGGTTCCATCTAAACTGAGTTATCTCACCTGCCAAAGATGGGTGTGCCCCCTAAACGGGCCGCCTGATAGATGCTCTGGACTAACACGGGGGACTAAATCAGGCCAAAAGAGGCGTTATTTGAATTGCCGAAAATGGAGGGCGTTGGTAGCACGCCTAGGTGCAAATCCGCGCAGCACCAGTCTTAATTGATGTTTCTAGTAAAGCGGCAGACTGAAAGTTCAACCCGGACTAAAGCTAGGGTATGCCGCCAATAGACAGAACAGTCCGTCTGGTGGCAGAGAAGACATTGCTATTTTTCCTATCCGTCGAACACTCAAAGTGACTAAATATTATAACAGATGGGCTAATTATAATTGTCGCGTACGGGAGTATAAACCGGGCAGGCATAGAACGATCGAAACGCACAGAGGTATTGCATGGGCAAGTTTATACGATGAAAACGTCGAACTCCGTTCAAAAATGGTGAAATGCTCAGTCTACGGATAATCTCGGTTCCTTGGCCCGCCACTAATGAATAACGTACACCTCAACATTTAAATGAAGCGACCTTTCTTAAAAGTAGGAGAAGCCGTGTCTTGCATTTTGGAGTCCATGCGCGGATTACAGGCTGCTATTGAGCATCGACAGATGCAATAGTATGCCTGTAAAAATGCACATTACTTAAGAGACACTCATTGAATGGTGATATAGGGAGGTAGTTGGAAACGCAGTCACAAGACCGCGAATTGTTTTGTGGAGGTAGGATGCCGGGCATCAGGGATTGTTACTTG